ATTTCTTGAGAAAAGCGCGGCTAGTGACGTAGGAATTGTAAGACAATTATGTGGTAAACGCATGTAAACGCTGGGTCCTATCTTGGTGACCTATCTATTGAAGCTTGTTGCAAAACTAGGGGGGCAAGGAAAGTGCCAAAAACCTCTTGTTTTTTGCACTTTCAAGTTGGGCCACTTGTGAACACCATAGTGTTTGTGATGCGGCCCTTCTGCCTTGCATCTCTGACACTCTTACACTGTCCGGCCCCAACCCCGCACTCTTCCGAACCCAAAGAAGACGACCGTTACCCGTTTCCCACTTCGCCTTCAATCCGCATGGAATTGGCCGGAAGCCTCAGCGCAAACGTCGACGAGTTGTCAAAAGCTCGGTGGATTCCTCCATGTTCCCGGAAGAGGACCCGCAACGGCGAATGTTCAAAAATAATCAACGAACGAAGATGGCCTTGAAAAGGCGCATGTCATCCTCATGTCAGCTAGTAAAATGCTTTGCATGTGGGCGTTCGGAGAAAGCCGGAAAGCTGAGCTGTCAGGAGTGCTCGGTAATGACATTCACTCTGCCCTGGCAAAGAAAATAAAGAAAAATGTGGGGTTTAGAAAGTAAATTACAATGTAACAGGAAGGCGTCAAGAAAGTGAAACCTCAAAAAGTGTAAGCTACATTTTTAGACGCCCGTAAACCGGTGGCACGCACCTAGAAATTGAAAGGCAACATATGGAATCTACAGAACTAGAGATGCATATGGGAAAACAACAGTCACGAAAGTGTCCACGCAAGGCCCCTACGATCGAATGGCAACTGAGAAGGAAGGAAGACAAAAAGAAAAAAAACGGCAGTAAAATGTGGTAGCAGATTGTCATGAGCAGCTCTGTCAGGAAGCGGGTCATGGCCCTAGGGCCTATTGGTATCCACAGGAAGAAGGAAAGACTACAGAAAAGAACAGGAAGAGAAGGAAGCAAGGTCTACAGGAAAAAAGATGAAAACACAGAAAGGCGTTAAGAATATGGAACCTCCAAAAATGCAAGCTACATTTTAGGCCGCCCGTAAACCGGTGGTACGCACCTAGAAATTGAAAGGCAACATATGGAATCTACAGAACTAGAGATGCATATGGAAAAACAACCAATAAAGTGTCCATGCAAGGCCCCCAGTAACTGAGAAGGAAGGAAAGTATAAAGAAAGATGCCAGCAGTAAAATGTAGTAACAGATTCTCAGGAGCGGCTCCGTCAAGAAGCGGGAAATGGTCCTAGGGCCCATTTCTATCCAGGAAGAAGGACAGAAATACAGAAAAGAACCGGAAGAGAAGGAAGCAAGGTCTAGGGGAAAAGATGGAAAACACAAAAAGGCGTTAAGAATATGGAACCTCCAAAAATGCAACCTACATTTTTGGGCGCCCCTAAACCGGTGGTATGCGCCTAGAAATTGAAAGGCAACATATGGAGTCTACAGAATTAGAGATGCATATGGGAAAAACAGTCAAAAATGTAAGCTACATTTTAGGCCGCCCGTAAACCGGTGGTACGCACCTAGAAA